CTGTTGCTGTGGAGCCAGGTACATTGGTCGTTCAACGCGCATCCTGTCAAAAAGGGTCAAAGAACACTACCCAGCGTGGCTACAGAAAGGAAATAATGGCCATATAAGGAGTGCAATAATCGAACATCTAGTCAACACTGGTCATTCCATCTCAACGAACGCCTCCTTTAAAGTGATCTACAAAGTGAAGAACAACCTCCCAAAGACAGTACGATTTCGTCTTCTTTGTATCGCAGAAGCCCTAGCCATCCAGTTGGTTGAACCAGAACTATGCATACAAAAGAAAATTATCCAACCACTTCTACTCGCATGGTAACAACTCCGTTGATTTGACCCATCTCTTCTTTGTTTGTTTGACCTGACCTTACTTCTGTTTGTATGCTTATTTTTTCTAACTTAAAACCCTTGTGTAATTCTATATATTATTTTGTTTCCATGCACAACCTTTGAGTACAACTCATTCATCAAACTATTCTTACCATTACGTAACTCTTATTTAACAATCATTTATGACAACTCACCACTTTTGTTACTACCCTCTTATATGAACATCCAATTCACCTAAACTTACTCCTCTTTAACAATCGTTTTGACAACTCATCACTTTTGTTGCTATCCTCTTATCAACATCCAATTCATTTGAACTTACTAACCGTATTTTGTTTGACAAACTTAATGTATACACACACACACACAAAATAACCATATATATTTGCGATTGTACAGCTTTGAAAATGAATTCGCCGAAAAGAGACTCTTTGCTGAACTACTTGTCTTTTGTCTACTAATGTCCGAATGGGAATTATTCATGAATTAAAAAGTAGCAAGGATCCCTCGACAGTCAAGGAACTCAATGGGTTTCTACGGTACTCTGTCAAACTTGCGATAGTGAAAGCGAAAATTTCTTTTTTCAATAATTGCATCAACAATCGCGAATATCCAAAATGGTTTTGGAAAGCATTGAGAAGAAGCCACATATATCCCAACACAAAATCCCTCCGACGACATGCGTTGAATCTTATTGACTCTATTAAAGCCCGTATTCCAGAACTAGAACGCAACATTTCACAAAAGTCTCCAGCGCTCCATGATCTGCTACCTAGCGAAACCCAGAGGTTTGCGGAATATGTCAATACAGTCACTGAAAAACGAGCACAATCCACTATTTCCCGACTCACCAAAAGCCTCAAATCCATCAAAGCACACAAACAATTTCCTGAAGACCCTTCGAAATTCGTATTCAACTACTCTTCAGTAGCTTTATCCAACCTACAGTTAGAAGCCCTATCCATGGGCCCAAAATTCTGCGACGTCAACTTAAACGCCAACAGACTCCATACACAAGTACAATTCGAAAACCTAATGACCCAAACAAATGATTTAACCCCAACCTCCGAACAAGAACTGCAACGTTTCAAATCAACAATAATCGATAGCTGTTATCAGTATCTTAATACAAAGCCAAAAGTGTACAACCACCTGACAAAGCAACATAGAGAAGAATTAAATCAACTAAAACAAAATGAAGAACTCCTTATAACTCGTCCAGACAAAGGAAGTGGTATAGTCCTTATGGACAAAAAAGACTATATTGAGAAAATGAACAACATCTTGTCAGATAAAACAAAATTTTCGCAACCACCCAACGAAAGAAACAAAACAGAACTGATTGAAAAGCAACTCACCGATGTCCTGAAAAGAATGCAAACCCAAAAGTTAATCACTCATGAAGTGTATGATCAGATCCGACCGACAGGGTCAACAATACCAAGACTATATGGCTTACCGAAGATACATAAAGCCAACCTCCCACTTCGTCCAATTCTGGATATGTCAGGTTCCCCGTACCATTCAATAGCGAAATGGCTCACTGACATTTTAGAACCTGTACGAAAACGAATGTGCCACTATTCACTTCGTGACACTTTCCAATTCGTCGATTACATTAAAGATATCAATACAAAGAACAAAACTATGCTCTCCCTCGACGTTGAATCACTATTTACCAACGTTCCACTCACGGAAACTGTCTCTTATATTTGTCACTATATCGACGAAAATCAGCTGGACATCGGATTACCGACGACCTGTTTAAAAGAACTACTACTGAGATGTACACTCAATGTCCAATTCACATTCAACGACATTATTTACAGACAACAAGATGGAATCGCAATGGGATCTCCACTGGGCCCATTACTATCAGACTGCTTCATGGCAAGCCTCGAGAACGGCCCACTCAAATCAACCATCGACAATTTCCAATTGTACGTTAGATATGTTGACGACATCTTTATCATCTGTGATGACGATCACAATCTCAATCAACTACTACAAATATTCAACAAATGCCATCCAGCCACAAAGTTCACTTTGGAAACTGAAAACGAATCAAAAATCCCTTTTCTTGACGTAGAGCTTACAAGGAGAGATGACGGAACTTTAAGAAGGTCAATCCATAGGAAACCGACTTGGAACGGACAATTAACAAGTTTCTACAGCTGGGTACCAATCAGTCGGAAAAGAAACTTAATTAAATCCCTTGCAACTCGCGTCAGACGCATCTGCAGCTCCGACACCATGGAAGAAGAACTAAACCTCCTGAGGGAAATCTTCATACAAAATGGCTACCCACCAAGATTTGTAGACAAAAACATCAAACAGAAAAACCAAAAGCAAGAGACAGCATCCGTGCCAAAAAAGATACTTTATATGAACCTAGATTTCAAAGGAGACCTACTTAGTGACGTCCTCAGAAGGAGAATTTCCACCTCTTTAGGAAGAACTTTCCCTGCGGCAACACTAAGAATAGTGTTCTCCAGTCGCCCGCTGATCTGCAGAAACCCAAAGGACAAGATTCCGCACATGACCACTTCTATGTGTATATATCAGTTCACCTGTTGCTGTGGAGCCAGGTACATTGGTCGTTCAACGCGCATCCTGTCAAAAAGGGTCAAAGAACACTACCCAGCGTGGCTACAGAAAGGAAATAATGGCCATATAAGGAGTGCAATAATCGAACATCTAGTCAACACTGGTCATTCCATCTCAACGAACGCCTCCTTTAAAGTGATCTACAAAGTGAAGAACAACCTCCCAAAGACAGTACGATTTCGTCTTCTTTGTATCGCAGAAGCCCTAGCCATCCAGTTGGTTGAACCAGAACTATGCATACAAAAGAAAATTATCCAACCACTTCTACTCGCATGGTAACAACTCCGTTGATTTGACCCATCTCTTCTTTGTTTGTTTGACCTGACCTTACTTCTGTTTGTATGCTTATTTTTTCTAACTTAAAACCCTTGTGTAATTCTATATATTATTTTGTTTCCATGCACAACCTTTGAGTACAACTCATTCATCAAACTATTCTTACCATTACGTAACTCTTATTTAACAATCATTTATGACAACTCATCACTTTTGTTACTACCCTCTTATATGAACATCCAATTCACCTAAACTTACTCCTCTTTAACAATCGTTTTGACAACTCATCACTTTTGTTGCTATCCTCTTATCAACATCCAATTCATTTGAACTTACTAACCGTATTTTGTTTGACAAACTTAATGTATACACACACACACACAAAATAACCATATATATTTGCGATTGTACAGCTTTGAAAAATCAATAATTTAACGGGATCAGCATTTCATCATGAGCTCACATCGACCAGAGAACCATTGGAAAACCAGCTGAGAGTACGAGACAGCTGTTTCCGTTCTCCTAGTTTGAGACTAGTCAGCAGTACCCACCCACTGCCACGGTTCCAACCAAGAACCGTCTGGATACAAGGCAAGCGGGCTCGTAGATCATTCTTCCACTGCGAACCGACCCAACAACCAGCCCATAAATTCCAACTTCTGTCGACAAACGATGCAGCGCAACCACTAACTAACTAACTAGCCATTGTCATCGGTGGCGAGTATTTCTCCTCACAACCGACAATGGTAAAGCCAAGGTCGACTGGTTGACTGACTTAAGACTAGTTCTCACTGAAAACACTAGGCTACGAGCTGGAAACTCTCCCGCCAACCATGAATTTCCATTCATCCCAGTTAGCAGTAAAATGGGACTTGCCCTAACATATTAAACAGAACAGAGAAATGCTGATAAACCATTGCTAGGGGTTATAACAAAGAAAATTACAACTCACTCCTCGGTTCCTAATGTAAAAGGAAATATGAATACAGCATGGTTGGTAATCTAACGGTCCGAGTTTATTTATACACAGTGGGGTGAGAACTTCGAGAAGGGAGAGTGAGAATAAACGGAAATGGTTAATAAAAGTAACATCGTTATGCAAAACAATGAACTAAGTGGAAAATTAGGAGATCAATAATCACTTCGGCTCAGTGAGTTGTATTCCAAACAACTGTGAACAAACAACAAACACAGAACAGATAAATCTAGTTAACAGAGTAGTGCGCGATTGATAACACAATCTTTCTGTATACACAGATCAGGTTGAAATCGTCTCATAACAATGGTGTCTTCTAAGCGAAGTAGTCAAGGAGGATCAGTGAAGGATGAACTGATTTCGAGTGAATATCCTACACGTTAACAAGGTGATTGGCTGTTGCACTTGCAAACATTTTATCACTTTTCATATGAAGATTATTGCCTTCAAACTAATCAACGGGACTGATTGTGTGACAGACGGATACTAACTCAGACTAAGGTAACAACGACAACACCACCACCTACAACAACAACAACAACAACAACAATGATCCCCCTCCCTAATGATTCAAGGATGTCACCAGTCGGTTGAACTGGTCCAATACGGAGACCGTCAGACACCACAGTCAAATAGTGTAATCTCTACACAAGGTGTCTATATCCATAAATGAGGCATTTAAAACAGTGCACAAAAATATAACGCACATCAGACACAACAAAATATCAAAGAACAAAACAACGGTGATGGTGATGATGATAATAATAATAATAATTATTATTACTATACTCCAGAAAAACGAAAATTAACCTACGCTCAAATTCACTCTTCAAGTCATCCGACAGCAGCATATATGGGTAATAGCCAGAATAATCCATTATAGCTCTATCAGCTCCTGGTGATAGACAAGAAAAGTGGAAAAAACGAACAATAAATAAATACACAAACAATCAGATGCTCTATCACATGATTCCCAGTATATGGGACAGTTTTACTTCACAACTTGTCAAACAGACAGTGTGAGAGAGAGACAGTGCACCACCACATTATGCCCATTGATCAACTGAAAAAGAGAAGTAATTCTGTCAACATATTTTATCCATGTCGTGTCACAATAACAGTAATAATAACAATAATAATAATAGTCATAACAAAGCTACTTAATCAATCAGTCAGTACACGTATTTCCACATGCTCGATAACGGAGTCGGAAATCATATTTCAAAACATCTAATCATATCCATAAAGTTCGAATTCAATTAGAAGTCATTTGAACTCAATCAATCAGAAGAGATTTCCCATCTACCAAACCATGAACCATACATGTTTTATAACAGATAATGATGCTATCCAATAATGTCCAAGGCTCAAGTAGACAGATTAGGACTCAAAGCAGCATACCAACAGATGCAAGTCAAATCCTAATGCCAATGAGCCACAGCTCCAACGTATTAATCAACGAAAGTCGTATGCTCAAACTTCTGCCTTACCTCTTACTTGAATAGTTTTCATACATCACCACACATACACACCCGCATTATAGCATCTACTAGTATGACTAAGCAGGTAAGTGATCAGTACTATCTGCAAAATGATACCTCTTATGATTTCGGATATATAACAGTCGGTCGGTTTTCGACATAGAACTTTGCACATATGTGCGGCAGTTCAAGTCGCCTCACTCCATGTAACACACAAAGCAAGAGAAGAAAGTAGGAGAAGATTTTTATCACCAAATTATCAAATAATTTACACTTACTATAATCTTCTGTCAAAGCCCTGATAATAGGTCGCTGTGAATGGACAACTGCAATGTGCAATGGCGTACGTCCCTAAAGAAAAAGTCACAATAGCAAACATTCTCAATAAATACAACCGAAACATGGGTGAAAGTCAATTTTTGCCCATCACTGTACACTGAACAACTACTAATTAACGAAAAGCATCAAAAGAAGTGAACTTCAAGTCTACAAGTCAAAATAACTAACTCCTTGTTGAAGTTGTTTGTCTTAACCACAAACACACACACACCAACTAGATTCCGTTCAAACACTCCGTCTTCATGAAAAAGAGAAGACATTCAGCGAAGAGACTCTTTTCGGCGAATTCATTCACATAGCTGTACAATCGCATTTATATATAAATATTTGTGTGTGTGTGTGTCAAGTTTAGATAATTGATTAGTTAATACAAGAATGATGTAGTATAGAGACAAAGTTAATCAGACAGCAACTAAAGTAAGATTGAGTTCAAAAGCTAGATGATGTAATATAATTGGCTAAAATGTTACAACTTAGGTGAGGATAGCAACAGAGGTAATTACAGGTAGAGATTAAGTAGAAATGAAATTGAGTGAATAAGTTGGATGACGTAACATGAATGACTAGAAACTGAGCGTTGTTCAAGTCAGTAACAGTGGTAGTGAGGTGCAGAAATTGAATCGGGTGGGGGTAGATAACAAGAAAGTTGAAAATGTAAAATGTTACAATTGAGAAGACAAATAATACTAATGAAGAGACAGTTGAAGCCTTACAGCTAGGCATTATATCACATGATGCATGCATACACATCAATCGACAGCAGTCAATCTAAAACACCTTCACATTGATTCGCAGACATGACCTTGCACAACTTTAAACTACCTGTATAATGCATAACCCAAGTGTTTCATTTGATTATGATGATGATGATAGCTGGAAATGGACACCAGGATACGCACTTCCCTCTATGTGGGATCATCAGATCGAGTCAACTCCAGCCCCCCACACAGTGATGCTCATCCCATCTAAGACTTGAACTTACTACATATCACTTCAAGAATGAATAAAATAAGGATGTGTAAACAAACTATTCATACCGTATAGGCAAATACTTAAATCACATATGAGACTACAAAACTCACATAACACCTGCATAGTCTACATTGCATGATATCAAGCTAACCACTTTTCAGTTTCATACAGACTAAACTGTCAACAACGCCAGTATAGTCTTATCTGTTTAAGAAATATGAAAACACCTTTTCATCATTACGTTGTGGTATATACATCTTCCTTCAGCAGGATAAAACGCTACACATGAACCAAATCACATGAAACAAGACAAAAAGCACATGACTATAAGCAACAAGAAAGTAAACAGGCATAATAAACTCACGCTCTGCACCGACATGGATCACGTCAATTCGTCACGAGAAATTCATTATGCAGATGGACAGAAATAGAAGACATTAAACAACATATTATTGTAACACACACATACCTACATATATATGTACATATTTGACTTGCCGTACTTCAAAAACTACAAAGATTTCAGTCAGACAAACCAAGCGTCTACCTCTGAGCATACTTTCAACACAACAAAATGGAGAAAATCTGCAAAATATAAACATACTTGGTGTACTACATACAAAACACGTAAACTGCAAGTTTCGACAACATCAAAGATTAACTACTCTATCCCACTTATCAGTAGATTAACTTTTAACAATAAAACTTTCCTCTCAGTCACGGATCACAGTAGGACATGTGTGGTGATATATCCGACACCTTTACTGCAATTTAACAGACACACGGGACACAGTGAATGACTATCGAAATAGGCAGGTGTGTTTCATCCAGTTGAGACACACCAATCAAAAACAATCAAAAAACGATGGATATTTTGATGCATAGAAAAGTGTACAAAATATCATAGGCGAATAACCACATGCAGACTCTACCTGCGATTTACACAATCAACCACACGATTAGTAATGTATAAATGAAATTGGTAAACAAGTGCATGTATCTAAACCCCCCCCCTTCACACACACACCCAACCAACCAGTGTAAAACTTGACTAAGACTCTTGTAATTTCATTTGTTACACTACTCGACTTCTAACACTGTTTCACTCACTAACGCATCGAATAAATCCCACAGACAAAGGCAGTAAATGTCGAATACCACCAATGGTATGTAGCCACACCTCTAAGAACACACCAACAACAACTTACACAGAACATGATGAGTAGAATTTTCTCAATTCCCATGATACGCATACTCAACAAAACTAAAGCATGAAGCTCCATGGACACGCATCATAATCGAATGTCAAATCATTTCATGATACAATACGTTGAACAACAACTGATCGATAAACCCTGAACAGTCGGTCAACAGATTTCAACCAGTGACACTCACAACAACGATTACCCTCCAGAAAATGAATATTCTGAATACATCATGCAACATGCTCATTGAATCACAAAACTAAGATCGTACCACCATTACTCTACTCATAATACAGATAAATCGTGTTTGGCAGAATACAACTATTCATACAAAAAGTGTATCAAACAATTCTCGACTATTCCAATTCTAGTAACATTCAAGTCAAACACACAGACAACTATGACCTATTGCATTATTACTATCATTATTATTACTTGACTGGTTAGCATCTGCAGCTGACTAGTGAATGAACATATAAAAAAACCAAGTGTGTGCATCTGAATTCACAAATCTAAAGGTCATGTCTAATTCATTATAAATATAAAAAATAAATAATTCAATATTTTCATATATGAAGACAAATTACACACATCAACGTTACAAACAAGTGTAGAAGAGTAATTCAATGCTCAATATGAAGTCCTAGTGAAATTACTGACACCACACAGTCTGACAATATAAAATCTGCACGAAACAAACCACCGTCGATAAACTGAGATTAGCCTTGGAATGCAGACGACAACGATTGAAATCCACAACACAGTGATCGAGTGACAACACGTACTCTGATTCAATTTTCCAAAGCAAAATGCGTGACCAACCACTACACTTCATATTTCTTCCAAGTATTTTTCACCTCACAATGAAGGCTACTTTATAGTGAAACAATCTGAACAAGTCGTTGAACTACGCTCCAATCTATTGACGTACACACGCGCGCGAACTACACCTGCAAGAATACCAAGCATCTAGTCTAATTTTATGTAGTCTGAGTTATGACAAGAACCACGGGTAGGAGGCTGCAACTTCTATTCACTTCAAATCGATTATCATTCCTTCCTTGGGTTCCACCGATTGGAGCATAGGGCTTCAGTGGCACATTCCCACTGTCCCACATTTGTTCTCTGACACCATTTCCAAACCACTCCACGACTGCAAACACGCTGTCATTCCACCCTCACTTGATATTCACTATGTCACGTCCCTACACATACACACACACAATCCTTCGCATCCAATTTGCACTCCACTCAACCGAATATTATTTAGGTGTCTTCTCAGTGTATTTCCAACCTATTTCCGTTTCTTCCCGTAAATTTCTTTGGCGATAGGTTACAAACTGAGTCACAACCAGAGTTCCGTCTCTCTGGCCATCTCATCTTCACTCTCAAAACAGCGTACATGTTGATAGTAGTCCACAACCTATCGAAACACTTTGCGTGATCGCATATCACCATTGACAATTACGATCTTGTCACTTGTGCTACTCTCTGTGGACATTCATAATCACTTCAGTGTACTGAAATCTCCTTTCTTACCTTACTTATCCAGACACACAGAAAAGAAATCGAAGAACTCCTCTCGCCTAATACACTTCCAATCAATCTGATAAGTTTTCAGGCTCACCTGCCCGCCCGCCCGCCTATATACCAACTTAACCAACTAACTATAACACGATTACATAAACACAAATCTCATTATTCAACACACTTTATGCATTGAATGTGTTTGTCTACCACAATGTGAATGAAACGCCACCACCACCCTAACAGTAGTAAACAAGCTCGAACACACACACAAACGCACAGTTATATACACTCGAGAATACAGCTGAATCGAAAAGAGAATAAGTGGACAGTAAAACTAGAATGTGGTGACCACAGAAAAACACACAGAGGGAGGAGACATAGAGTGTGGTGGTGGTGGTGGTGGTGGTGTTTATTAGCAGTTCATATGACTAAACTTGAATGAGCTTAAACGAAAATTGTCATGCATAAGTAAGTAGTAGGCAGGTAGAGTGATGCGTAACACCACAAAAAGTTAGTAGTAGACGAGTTCACCCACACACACACACACACAAACACACAACTACACCCATATGAGAAATGCCACTGAAAACAGAAACACCACAGAACGAGGACAAGTGTATAACTCAGCTAAACGAAATGCAATCGTGTAAGTCTGTTTATTATGTTACACCATAATGATAACAGATCAATGAGAGAACAAACAGTCACTTATGTGAAGTTCGAAGTAGAGTAAACTTCATGCATCTATCCAACAGTCAATGCGAAAATTGTGAAACAGTACAAAAGATTAGGCCATCCTATCTACCTAGACATACCCACTCTCCTTCTATACAAATACTGGAATCACAACAGATCGAGAAGGGTCAGAGTCAGTCAGTCAGTCCACCCAATCGACTAACTATGCTCTGCTATTAACACCACAAACTTATTACCGCAAAGTAGACAATATAACTATTAAGTCCAGTGTTCACCAGTCTATCTATCGATTCAATTTAACAGGAATAAGAGACGGATGGGGATAATAAAAATCAGACAACACGGATTCATTTCGTCCCCTATATCCTCTTCGAGTGTCACTAAGCTACCAACTGACCACAGAGAAACAATACATCGTGAAACAGATTCATTGATTGATTGATTCACTGACTGACTGGCTGGCTGGCTGGCTGACTCGTAGACAACACGAAACTGACCCACTTTCAATCTACTGTAACTAAAATGGTCACATGTAACCTTCTTTAAATGACTGTTTACAGTGGTGAGTGATATGCAGTGGTCAAAACATAACCATTATTAACAGAGGGATAACTTCAGTGGCTTACTTCAGATATCTGAGTAATCAACCAGAAAACAAACAAACAAACGACAATGACCACCAACCAACACTTCCACTCAAACAAGATTTAAGGCAACATAAAATGGCATACGCTGAATGTTTTGCATTTTAGCAATAACATGACTAGTCTTCAAAACTAAGTGATTTCATACTCACTCTGCCTTAATGAATACTTCCACATAGAAAACCGATGATATTAACAACCGTGTACAGTCGACATAAGTGAAGACTAAATAATAATGCAGTAACTGAGAAACGAAATCGACTGGTTTGTAAGACAACTAAACTAATCGATCCTGAGAGTTGTAGGCGGGATGGAATCTCAAACGCTTTTCCACATCCATTCCCTTTAGATATTCATAATAACTGACTGCTGTATTTCCTACAAACGTGCAGTCCCTCACAAACGCCGTTTCCTAGTAGTATCTCTAAGTGCGACACACGAACAACAAGTATGCACAACAGTCACACAAATCATGTATCATACGTTCACTACATATCTACCAGCACCTAACTACCCAGCTTGTTGTAAATTGGGACCTATATGTGAGTATCTCTATAATATATCACTGCTCTCTACACAAGTAAAGTAAAATTGAACCACACATATTAACATAGAACTGACACTACTCTTAGTAACACTTCATCCTGCAGTTATCCAATATTAACGTAACAGAGTCAGGACCATATGCCATGAATTTAGTGATACCACTATTTATTAAAAACAAATAGCTGTAAGACAAAATAAAAGATGAACGATATAGACATAAGCAGTAATATCACTTAAGGAGCGAACCATAAATGCATACAACCTTACTGGTGTCAATGTACAAGACCAAGAGAACAACGAATACAGCGTACACGATACACAGAAATGTGATGCTCAAGCATCATGTCTCAGATATGCTGAAACATACTTGACATAGGTGTCCTCTTAGTTTCTCCTCCTTGTACTCTCATTATATATTTCTTGTTTAATTCATCACCTTTCATTCATTATCTAGAGATGCCACATGATTATTACCTACACGCATTCTTACAAGCAACACACTTCACACTCACGCACTCATTGAAAATTCACGCATCTGCCCACCTCTAAATTATCACCTTGCACATTATCTCAAACATATTCAATTATCTCGTATGCATTTTGTCATCTTGCCGCCTTCTATCGACTTTCATCTACGTTGTACTGGTTGATATGAAGTGAAGGGACTGTCACAACCAGCTCCAATTCTCCTTAAACTTTGTCAGAACTCCTTCAACAACATAAAAGAATTCGTCATTCAAAAGTAGTTCCCTAATATTGTAGGATATACTGTACTTGTGTCTCCAACTCATTGTGCAGTAGAACTATGACTTGTGGAATAGATAACAGGACAATCTGCTCAGAAGTAATTCATCATATACGTATATACACATGGCTAGAGATAGTACAGAAGACTGAAGTACACTGCCAAGAAAGTGAGCATTTATATCTTACGATGTAATTTACGTCAACATTTTACTCTCAATCAGTTATACAATCAAATTATAACGATATATATATTCGCTAGTGACCAGTCAATTACATATATATGCACTAAATCAGTTAGCATGAGTTGGCGTATATAAGCTGGATATCACGGATGCAGACAAGTTTTAACAAAACAACGTCAAGCATCCAGATACACAGCATTGCAGTGTTATCTCATTCAACTCGATAATTACCGTAAACTGTACCAAACACAACAAAGTTGACATCGACATAGGTCAACAGGTATTCAACACAGGTTCATTAACATATTCTAGTGTTACAAAGAGTCACACGTCGGTTGAACAGCCGGCTAGTTAATTAACACCGCATAAAACAAGCTGAAATCTTACACCGAGCGCACAACTTCCCTTAAGGCTACACATGTTTAGGCTCTGCTGGTTAACTCCGACAACTGACTTCAATCCCAAACACCGAGTGTCACCAAGTAGGATCATCGCAGAAGGACAAGAGACCAGGCTGGTTTGTGTGAAACAAGAAGCCGATTAATGCATGAGGAGCAAAAACAAATACAACTCACTTTATTTCGAATATTTACGTCAGCATGATATTGAGAGACCAACAGCTGAACACATTTCACATTCCCAAATTTCGCTGCATAGTGTAATGCCGACTACAAATTAGAATGAGATACAGGTCAGACAAAACTTGTCATCCACAGTAGTACACACAAAATTTATTTTGAAAGACCACAAAGAAGGAGAAATCCACATATTAAAGCCAACCCATTAGCAAACACTCAACTGATGATGATAATGATAATAATAATAAGAAGAACAATAATCATGTCAGTCAATTCCGCTGTTTAACTTTAATTCATCCAGCGGCACTGTTAGGTGGTACTACAATGTCCATAAGTGATGAATGCTGATGATGTACACACACACACACACACAGTGCAGTCCATCACTTTTGACTACAGGGAAAAGCTTTGATTGTTATATGGTCCATACATTTGTGCAGTATTCAATGACTGCATCTGACCTACAACTAGACTCTTACAGAAGAAAAAGTAGACCACCATACTTTCTCAGCTTCTTCCAAGAGTCCCACATACATCTGAAAGTGGAATGGAACTACTTAAGAGCAGTTAGACAAGTGTGGAAACACAACAGGAAATGACATGTGATCACCAGGATCTTTTCAAATCATGTCTCCAGACACTGTTCCAATTAGTGGACATTTGACAACTTACAGAGTAACACAATTAGACTGCAATTTAAACTGTTTGAATAACACCTTGCAGTTCAACTTGCGTATGAGAAACAAAACAAAGTACATAGATGACTTATCACTACCGAATACCCACCTACCTACCTACACGAGAACAAACTGTGGTGAAAACCATTCTCAATAAATAAGCGCTCCTATACTGGACAAGCTAAATTATGCACTGTGCAAACAACAAACATTGCACAAATCATTTGATTTTGAAAAAAACAAAAAGCCTTAATGTTCATGCTTAAATTATGCATCAGATCGCATTCAGTTTATCAATATACAGAGTGAAATATAAGTACGAATACAGTTAGTTATTCAATACACAAAAGAAACCTAACAAAAACCTCCTCCTTTCATACGCATACGTTATAAGCTACAAGAATCCTACACTCACTGAGCCAAACCAATTATTATTCAACAAATGTAATCTGAACAGTCAGATAAGTGTGAGAGTATTGATCACACAAAGTCAACAGACTAAGATGAACAGCGATACATTTTAACGCCTGTAAAGAAAACCGCTTTTGCTGCATTATTATAAACTAAATGACTGAGAAATAGCTACACTGCAAAGAACAAACAGGCCGAATATAACATTTGACAGAGCTCACTCTTCAAAGACAATCCACCAGAGGAATGCTGCCACCTAGTGACTGTAAACAACCTCCTTCACATGCTACTATGTATTATACATCTAGGCAGGCAATTGACAAATTTCAACATAATTTCAATTTTAGACACAAATCAAGTGCATCAACAGCACTGAGAAAAGTATACGTCAGTGATCCCCATTGTTTTTCTAAGTTCACTTAAGAACCCGCAATGTATGTGATGAATAAGCAACTATCGGAAATAAGACGCAGGACATCTACAACTGTGCTCAAACAGGTACAGTTACAACACAGCACAATACGATTCTGATAAGATCCCTACAAATTCTTGTCTACCAGCCCAATTCAAATATAACACCATGAATCAAGTCAAAGTGCTTCACTTCACAGAACAAGGAGTTTATCACAATGAGGTCAGTGTTACCAATTCACCAAATATGGTGTGATAACTCAACGACTACTGCGAAGAAGCACAATGATAATTACTGCATATCACAACACAACACATTGAGATGAGAGGACCCGGTATTCTGTGATGTTATGTCGCTCATTGTTTCGCTTCACAAAGACACTCCACACCAGTGATCAGAGTATAAATACAACAGACTCCACATTACTATTTCTCATCACATCTCACGAAAGTAATCTGTCATGTGAGTCGGTGGCACAGTGGTTACGACTCTCGCCGACCGAGCACATGGCCCGGGATTTGATACCCTTCCGGAGCACACCTGATATCAATGGTCGGCCTGCAAAATATGAACTACCGATATCACATGCTGAGTGAAAATTCCATACCTGTACCAAAAATACGCTGTGGAATCAAGCGATAACCAAAATAAAAATAAATGTCGTGTCATGCCTTCTCAATGAAAAACCAAAGATAATAAAATCCCAACAACAACTTTACAAAAACAAAACATCACTCACCCACTAGATATTTCACAATTCGTTGTAGCCATCATCATTAGAACCAGCATAATCATCAAGTCCCGTGTGCGAGGGAATCGAAATATAAAAAAAATACAGAAATATACACCTGCTACTCCATTTATCCATAATTATTACATACTGAGTACATTTCATCCGATACCAGGAAAAGTACACTGTTGTTATCTTTGTCTGTCTATCTATTGATCTATTATTTCTCGTAGATGTCATCATAACCATCATCATCGTCAACATCAACACCAGCATTACAAATTCACATTCCAATGTTGATCTCCCTGTCAATTCCTTATCAAATTCCCCACCCCCCCCACACACACAACAACAACAGTTATCCATTATATCATTATACCATTATATATAATCTAACCACCTTTAACACATAAACACATACGCACACACACATACGTGACACTCAATGTTGAATTTAAACCGCCAATTCTGACCAACAGCTTGTGTTAACATTTACACCGTCTCAACACTCTCTTTTCCCGTCAAAAGTTAATAGTATTCCTTTTGAGAAAGAAAAAATATATATGCATATCTTCATTTACTACTTCAACATATGAGTACTGCACAACACTGTTCCATACAACTTCAATCTTGAAATAAGCATATCCTCGACTAATTTAAAGACAAGACAATATCCAACAAAAAGACAAAAAGACTTACGCCATGCACCGGATCCTATTACACGGGGAATAAAAACAAAACAATCAAAAAGATTAGAGAAGGATGATCATAAATACAGCACTATGCACAATAATATTGTCTTAGGCAACTAAAATAGCAACAAAGCAAACACAATATACCAAAATCAATCATCAAGTATGCATAATGTAAGAAACTTCAGGTATGCGCATGTATCCATCTGTCCGCTGACATTAATACATGAAAAGAGAAACAGTGAAATAACGAAAAAAAAGAAATTCATTTAAACAAAAATGTGTCAGTAAACAATTAGACGTGAAAACACGCTCTGAAATGAAATCACTTCCACATAAATACTGTGCATGAATCCCACGCAGTTGATATCATACAGTGTCAAGTCAATTGGTTTACCAACTACTAACTAATATTGAGACTTCAATAGGAAATTCCCGAGAACATGATCTACGACTACATGTGGCATTCAATGTGAATACCTATTCCAACAAATAGCATCATAACTGCACAATATGCACTTTATCTAAGTTTTCCACGAACCTATCTACACCCAACTTAGTAGTCGGTCACAATCATACCAGTCAGACTGGCTGGAGAGAATGCTCCAACACCACAACTAGACTAATAACAGTTACCACCATACAGTAAGTCTCTAACGATATGGTGGAAGTCTGACGAATAAGAGTCAACCGGAAATAAAGTCTATCCATCAGCTGACTAGCAAGACACCTATCTTGTCAATCTGTACGCCAGACAAAGATCCTGAATACCAGTGCAAATAAAGTGTTACCATCAGTTTACAAGTAGTCTACATCATGGTTAGGGTCTCATGGTGAATGTATGATGTCTACTGGACAAGGATTATGTAACAATAAGGTGGATCCCAAATACCCACACAACCTACTTTCTTGCTGTCCAGAAAATGTAGTCCATTCGCCTTTCCCCTCATGGAATCTGCAAGCAAAAGCACTGGCTATGATACTCATAGACGCCTATTCTCTGTATCTTACTTCCCACCCACCAACTACATCTTGAAACATGCAGCGGGTCAAAATTGCTGACAAATGTAAGACATCCACCTATAGGAATATCAATACGTGACGTCAGTCATCGTTTCACCCACCCATTTAGCTATTCAGAACCTTTCGGTATTATGTACTGTCAATGCTTCTTCTATTTATTTCGCTCCTGTAACCCACTGCTCTTGGCTGTCCTTACTGAGACGTATAGTCAGCTCACGTATGAACAGCATTCGCTGTTATTCATTCTCAGAGTACACTGTATCAATCACTCAAGATGAAGCCTCACAGATACACTGTCATTCACTAATCTTCTATATAGTTTATTAATACCGTCATTGAGACACCTATTATATAATTCACACTAGTACCAGACAGATATTTCAGTATGATCAAAATAGAAACAATAACAATAATCACGTGATAGAACAGATATCACTTCACAACGACTCAATTCATCACATGACAACACACTGAATCGATTAATTAATTCACCTAATTAGTTCACTGCAATTAATAGTACTCAAAAGACAAGTTGTCTACTTAAATTACACTACTTGCAACTATAGACAAACCAGGAAACATCACAACGGTTAGTTTTCTCTAACCGTAGATATTCGTCGTCTATTTCCAGTGTTAAATGGTATAATACGGTGAGTAATATTCAGGTCAGGGGTACAGTGTTAAGTAAGGGGGGCAAGTCAATCAGTGAGACTATGAAGCTGCATCCATTCGGACGGCTACAACAAATGTTATGTATGCCAAGCCATCGCCTCCCTCCTCGAACAATGTAAGCTGCAATAGGACTACGTAAGTTGAGAGTTAGTTGTAGCTATATCAAAACGTGGTATCAATCCACTAAGACTTTCACTGTTGGTTCGAGCCGCGTAGGCAGGTGTATACTGTCTGATTGAGGTGTTTGGGACATACGGAACCAATAGCCAGAGACTATTGGTCAGATGACTCAAAATCCTTCTCAATGGCACAGACGCACGCACTTTTCATGAACTCCTAGATCCATCGAATTATTTTTATTCTCCACATATTCTTTCCAAAAAACACTCCCACTCATCACAGTTAAGTTGAATTTCCTTCCTTACCAATGTATACTATTCGGAATACAGCAACGTTAGCTGCTGCACTTTTGTGCAAAGTTCTTCGGTGAAAACGCACCCAGTCAGTCGAAAAATGACGACCATCTACTGCACCTCTACACACACCACAGACCATCTTTTCAGACAGTGCCAACTTCATGCACAGATATCGACAACATGCAATCATGCCTCATTTCCCATTTCCTCAGACTGGCAATCGAACAAATCACAGTGCAAAGTATGTGGGGAATGATGCACATGCAACGAACGACATCTCCTAACATGTGCGTAAAGCCATGAAGAAACATAAGCCAATATAGGGCATTTCTGGTGCTACAGCAAAGTTTTTCAAACCACTAGACTTCGCGCCTACAACAAATTAGAACGCATAGTCCCAATCAAAGCTTCTGACACTTTACGATTCTTCATGTTTTATCACACTGTCGTCATAGGAGTTTCTGAGCTGGGTGGTGAAGTCACAGTGGAACATTTGGAAAGTATGTAAGTTGCCCTTCAACTAACCATGCTATCTCGAGATATTCGCTTTGATGGGAGACAACAGTATTGCAAACGTAATCTTAACTAATCGAACACTGTTCATTGTGTCTTACAACTTGGTTTGATTACAAATCGTGCAGAGGTGATCAGCATGCGGCATGATCATATGACTTGAATTGAGCTGGGAACCGTCGGTACAACACTATTCACTCAGAGGAGTCCGAACAAAACCTATAGCCTAAGCCACTGATTCATAAATTATCTTCTTAGAATGAGATATAGCCTCACTAATTTTGTGTGATGATGGCCTAGAGCTCTAGTGAAAAGTCACGATTAGTGTGGCCCACCAGGTCGGGTGTGACGAAAGCCAGAAACCGGACGTAGAAAGTAACGGTGAGTTTAACTACACTGGGGGAAATTCCAGAAATGCTAGTCCGTATTATTTCTTAAACACGACGTACTACATTATTAATGCAGCCACAAGAAAGTAACATTTTTCATCTTTCACTTGTCTTACACCACACAAACATGCGCACACAAAAAAGTTGCATTAATTCATAACTTACACTCCAATTCGCTAGTTTTGGATTTAAACCCAGCAGACGTCTCATATCTCCCAATCGACAATCAACAGCTGCTAACCACCAAAGACGAGTTTCACTACCCGTGTATGTTGAATACATATGAGAAGCTTTAGTAGACAGTGAAACACTGCTGGTTGGTCTTTGTAACACTGGCTAGGATAGAAATACAAAGAACAGACATAAAACTCGTCCAAATTCTTATACATTTATAAAACTCATTATGTTCTACGCTCAAAAAACCTCTAGGAGAATATATCCATTCATTTCAAGTTATTCTCAATATTATTAAACATGAATTTACCTCAATTACGGGTGTCAATAGACGCCAAATTGTTGAGTCACTCAAATAAATTACAATAGAATTAGACGAAAATCTCTAGGGAATACTTTGTTAGGCTAAAAGCCGCCTATCTGTGATTCGAGCATTTCGCCATTAATTAATTAACACCAACAGAAGTCATCATTAATAGGAGACTGACACAAAAACTAATGCCACACTTCGGACTTGAAATTTTTCTTATGACATTGCGTTCATTTTACACAGACAGTCAGACTAGCCTTCATCACACATACATTGGGATTAGATCAGTTACCTGCCAACAGTTACGATCACCGAAAAAGAACAGAAATACTAATGCCTACTAATGGACACATGGAAAACACGAAACCGTGGGACGATGATATGCACCAAGGTAGCATATTACCCGCCATGAATAGATCCAACTGAACCTGAAAAATCAAAGCAGCAGTAGTAGTGCCACATTATTATCGGTAACAAAACAGAACAATTACGGAGGTCTCGGAACCGCTTGCAGATTAGCATCACACAAATATGTTAAGAAAACACTTCAATATAACGCTACCTGAAACGGATTTGCAATACACCAGACCAGCTCCATGAGCTGAACTTATTATGTGACAGCTGGTGAAACTATCAAGTTGTCTATGCTCAAATAGGTGGAGTTGCTTAGATCCAAGGACCCACTGCTCAGATCATTGAGCCAAATTAGAAGTAGTGGATAACTCGTCAAAGAACTCAATACAGTTACATATCTAACCTTATAAAGATAAGAGTATAGGTTTAGCTTTTGAACACGCCAACCGGAAAGAAGCGAAAATGTAACTAGCTAACCTCTCAAGTCTATACAGATGAACGTTTGAGGAGAAAACCCTTATGCAAATGCATAAACCATTCTAAAACATACACGTTTACTTATTATACCCTTGACAATTTTTAGTACGAACAGATCATGAATGCATCACCTTACCGCCGTCTGATATCACTTCAAGAATCCCAAAATCCTTCGAGTTTACACTTTCATTCTTTACTACACAGTCAAATGTCCTGCAACTGAAATGATTACTAAGATAATTTATGATATCAAAAAAAATGTTTCCTAATTAGACGACGAGGAACAAAATAGATTTAAACAGACTACTTACTCGCTCTTGTGGTCGACTAATTTCACTGGAAACCTGAAATCAACACAAATCTAAAATATGAACATCTTTACCTTACACATTGGCCTTCCCACAACCTGCGACGTCGACGTCTGAGTCGACTGACATACAGTCTAATAAATGATTAAATGCAAAACACACGCTTACGTTGCAGACAAGATTCTCCTTATCACGAACTAAGTCTTTCAAAACTAGATATCTTTTCCGATCCTGAAGAAAATACAATCGAGACAAACAGATCTCATACCGAGCCATATTCAATCACAGCGATCGAACCAACTATTCTCTTTATACAACTTCTCGGTTCTAGAAATAAAATTTAAAATCAAAACATGCAAAGTTAATAGCCATTGAATGGCGGAAAGAAGTGGCTTTAAATAATTAGAACTATAATTTTTACCAATATATCTAGGACACTTAATTCTTTTTGACTAACCCTATTTTCAGTCATGAAATACAAGATTGACAGTAGGAATAAACGTAAAACTAAGCTTTAGATTATTGTACGCCTCACAAGGCAGACTGTTGTTTGAAAGTGATAACAATGACTATTCATTATTTCTCACGATGATATCAAAATATCCAGCATCAAAAGAAAAACAGAAATAATACAAGCTACTTGTCACAAACATCTTATGAAGCATCTGTCCATCGTTGAAGTTCGTCTTAGGAAATAATGGAGACAGTTAGTTATGGACATACAAAAACCAATGAATGCTGTTTTCATCTTACTAGGATATATATACCCGGGACTACTTCTAACTATCCCACACAGAAAATGACAACTTTCTAACTAACCGGCTCCAATTAGACTGCTATTCGGGGTACAGAAAGATGCACACACGTGCAATATGTATCTGTATAGAAATCTAATTTCTCTTTGAAAGTGACCACTGATCCAGCTGATACCACTTGATCGGGTAAGGAGTTCCAGTCGCTCACCACCCTACATGAGAATCTAAATTTCACACGCATGTTGTCCGAACGCGGTTTGAGCACCTTGTGATAGTATTCCAAAGGTATCCTAGGAGGAAGGAAAACGTTAGGAAGCTTAACACCCACATCACCCTTCAATATGTTAAAATTAAATCACCTTTACTCCTTCAGTATGATAGTGAGAAGAGGTTCCAGTATTCAAGCCCCTTCTCATAAGGAAGGTTAGGGATACCTCTGACTAATTTAGTTCCTGTCCTTTGTACTCTTTCCAAGACTCAAGCCTCCTAAGAACATCGATTAGTCACCTGTATACAGTATTCTAGAAGTAAGGTGTGATGTTGAGTAGAGAATTTAAAACAGAGACTCATCTAAGCATTCACAAGTTCTTATAGCATCCGAAGAACCCTCGCCGCAGCTGTATCACAGTATGCACTTGTTTTCGAGTCATGGCCTACAATAATTCCCAAGTCCGTTTGTCCCTTAACACCAGACATTTCTGTATCCCCAAGGAAGTATAACTTGTAAGACTCCTCAGTTAGGTGCATTACAATGCTTTCTATAGAATTAATTCTCAAACTCCAGACCATCCAGTTGATTTATCTAGATCAAATTGCAAGACTGATCATTATTATTTACAGTTTTCCTGATCTTAATATCGTCCGCAAATAATAATCAAGATGAGGTAAGAACTTCCGGCAATTCCTTTATGCATGTAGGAATAACAAGATGTTCAGAACAGCACCATGTGGTACTCCATTCGGTATCTGTTTCCACTCCGACAGTACAAAAATAACTGTTGTCTTTTATCTTCTACACAGTAGCTAGTCCCTGAGCCAATAGCAGGCATTAATATAATCCAAACCACTTTGATTCACTGAAGCCTTATAGAATGCTTTCTAAAGATCAATAAAAGCTACGTCAAACGGCATTCTTCTATCTCTAGCTTTAGCGAAATTCCCCTAGCTGACAGTGAGTTAGTGAAGCAGGATTGTCCTGATCTGAATCTATGCTGTCCCCCCCCCCAGTAGGCCGTGTTCCTCTACATGCGCTAATAACTGGCCCCTCATGGTCATTTCTAATACCTTTGTCATACTGCACAACTGACTTACAAACCAGTAGTTAGATGGCTTTTTCTCTATTTGAAGACGGGGTTATAACTGCGTCCTTCCAACCCGTATGTAACCTAGCCTGAGTCAGAGGCATTTTGAAAGCCCCTCTAAGCGGCAATTACATTATATCAGCTAAGAAGGCTGTCAGTCTAGGGTGGAGTCCGTTAGCCACTGATGACTTGCTTGGTTTTACTTTAGATAGTATATCAGTCCACTGCATCAGTGTTATTATACTCACGCATAAGTCCACTCGGTCATATCAACTGTCGGCAAGTTCATATCTATTGACAATGAGATAACTGACTACGAACCACCGTACCATAAACCATAATAAAGGACACTTTTGGGCGGTGACAGGGACCTCACTAAGCCCCTGGGTGTTACGATCAGACAAGAAAACAACAAGGAAGTGTTCCGAAAGGTTACATCCTTCGTTTCATCAAACTTGGCAGCCTCACCTGTATTGTTTATAAATGACGGCATACTGCCGCTTATTTTAGTCTTACGTTTTATATGAGTTCAGTCTTTTGGCAACCAGTCTCTCGTATTATGTACGCCTTTTGTCGATCACATACTTGCGTAGGTTCTAAATTTTACGACAGTCTATCCGAAACTCATCCCGTTTAAAGCTGACTGATTCCATAAGCATTTCCGCTTCCTCAGTCAACTTATTTCACCACTTTTCCAAGATGGTTTGTGCGATAGCTTCCGAGGAGTAGACCAAGGTACAAAAAGTGAACTGATACATTCTAACGAATTCTTAAATCTCACCCAAGCTTCCTCTACAGATTCATTGGTGTAAAACCGACCAGTCAGTTAGGGTTGATGCGTACCATATAGCTGATATATCCGCTCTCCACATGGATGTAGCCATGAATCCTAAAATTAATATTAATGACGACGCAGTCACTGCTGCCTAATGGTGGGAGGCAACTAATGTCGCATACATTCTCCTTTTGGCGTTGGTACTAAGTCCACGGTTGAAGGGTCGTGTTCGGGTTGCACAGATGCGCATTCGAGGACTATCAGAGGAAGTTCTCTATCGAAACACGTGTACAGGCTGGTTGATGTTAGTTTCACCTCCCCAGTTATTACGTGGGGCATTAAGGTCACCTACTATCAGACATCTATTTTCGCAACTCCACACCCTAAGGTGGTTTAGTTGGAAGTCATCAGCTTGGCAGACAGGACTAAAACAAATGAACTCCATCAATTCAGACTCATATGGACCTAGGAATCATAATAAGTCACGGCTTAAAAACCACAGCACTGTCGCTCAGTGACAGCTCGTAGTTTCGGATCTTTATGGGCAATATGCAGGGCGCTTACTACAATCGCATACATTTCTGAAGAGGTCAAGGCCAGTCCTTCTCTTAAGGGAAACTCACACAGTCTAGATAGGGTTCAACGGAAGGCAACACATAGGATTCTTGGCATCACCAATTTATCATAAGACGAAAGACTACACAGTCTGAATCTTTTCTCCTTGACATACAGTAGCCAGAGATCTCATTACAATGTTTAAGATTTTAGATAATGACTACTATTTACTCTATTCCTTTCCACAAGGTCTAGACACCTTAGAGGGCATAGCAGTAGAGCTCAAAAGCCAAGGAAAGACTGCACCACTGTGGGGGTACCGGTCCTCTAATAAACTCCTGGAAACGACTCCCAGAGGAAGTTGTGTTAGCGCCCTCAATTGATTTGTCCAAAAGGCTTTTGGAAAAGCACAGAAATTTACCAGAAAAGGATTAAGATGGGATTCAAAACTCCTATCTCCAATCTAAAAATCTGAATCTGTTACACGTAGTAATCGCGGGCTGCTGTAGCACTCTTATTTAGGTTAATAATACAGCTTGATCAGGAAACCCGGATCTCCAACATACCTTGACTCAACTCACTATCCTCTTTTATAAATTTCAGGAGCTGTTCGCTTGAAACTCTGCCACCATAATCATTAAAGGCTTGAACAAGCTTTGACCTCGAATCCATAGTTTTTTGAACAGTGCTCTAAGGTCAGTGTCTCCCTAATTCCACAGCTGTTTAGGCCAATTGCAGCCTTCAACCTACTTTAACAAAAATAAGTATGTGATATTTTCTCGTTTAATCCTCATCTGAATACCAATCAATTTCTTGTAGATTCTTTCGCTGTACCAATAAAACTATAAGCTCGTAACCTTCAAGCACAGAAGTGACGATATGGATTTGAGCCTTTTTAACCTCATATCCTCCTGCTACAGGATTTGTGAACTCAAAATTCCATAGCCTCTTTATCTACCGTACTCAAATCGGAGTTGCACAGCCCTCCTTACTTCTTTTAAACCGGGGAATTTTCAGATATGTGTTTAGTTGTTAGTTGAAGAGGTATGGTGCAGTACAGTATGTTTTGTCTAAATTATCCCCCACCTCTATCGAGATCGGCTCTATTTTGTGGCAGAGGACTAAGTCGAGAATATTGTTATGTTGCATTTGGAGGCGTACGGACTACTTCCATTTTCCTATATCTATAGTTTCTAGGAGCTCGTCATGGATTCTAGGTCCAGTGCAGGTATCCCAGTTCACTCCGGGGAGGTTAAAATCGCCACAAATTATTTTGTAGTCGAATTCCAGAGTAGGTACATGCTCTAGTATTTCTCCGATAACCGTATCAGTCTTTTTAGGGCTGTTAGGGTCTCTGTATATACATCCCACTAGAATTTTAGTTTCATTCTGGGAGTTTGTCGATAGTTAAGTTTGTAAAAGTTTTGGAGTCAGCGGATATAGAAGCACATATTATACACCCGCCTCCTCTTTCGTCCACTCTATTATTCCTGTTGATTATCAGGAGAGTAAGACGTGAGAGAATGTAAAGAAGTGAAACGACGAATTCAGTTGTCTACTTATAAATGGTGTATGTGATTTTAAAGGAAAGGGCCATTTGGACGCAGTCCTTGTGTGTAGGACAAGCTTTCATTGCACAGGGTGTAACCTGCATTCTGCAGCCTACAGTTGCGTGATTTCAATACTTTGCACTTTTTCAGGTTGAAAGTCATAACCTGACCACCGCCCAGTCTTCCAGGAGGTTTAGATCTTCCTGTGGTGAATCTCAGTCCCCCGGGCAATTTATCGTTCCTCCATATCTTCACGTCGTCAGCGCACAGAAGAGTCAGGCAGCTTAGACGGCATGGTAGATCATTGATAAAAATCAAGAACATCAATGGTCCTAGGATAGAACCCTGCGACACTCCTGACGGTGTGATGTGCCAAGATGATTGTACTCGATTTCTCTTAGTGCAAAATTGCCTTTCAGCTAGGTAGTCCTTTCACCATGACAGAAGTGGCTTACCTATACCTGCCTGGCTTATTTTGTGTAGTAGAAGGTCATGGTGAACAGTGTCAAATGCCTACTCAAAGTCTTGGAAGACCACATGGACTGGAACATTCATATCCCAGCATGATATCCAATCGTCCCAAGGTGGTAGTAGGTTTGTGGAACAAGATCTGCCTTTCCTAAAACCATGTTGGGCTTCATGGACAATATTAGTCCTATCGAGACGCTTTCTGATGTGATCATCAATAATATTTTCCAGTACTTTTGATACCACTGAGAGTAGAGGTACTGGTCTATAACTAGTGGCATTTTACCTATCCCCACTCCTCAAAATTGGAGAAAGGATGGCCCTTTTCCATTCCCTTGGTAGTTCTCTCGAATCCATTGAGTGCTGGAACAAGTTGCATAAGGGCTTCCAGAAAGCTTCGCGCGCACTGTTTCAGGACAGATGGCCTGATGTCGTCACAACCTGGGGACTTCCCAGGTGTGAGACGCTGTAGCTTCCTTAATACTATTGCGGGTTTTATTTGGGGAGTAGCCACCAGGTCTTCCTCCTGTGAAATAGTAGTGCCACCATTTTGGTTCGTAACGGTAATACCCACATTGCTGTTTAGCCGTTTGGCGAAGGCTAAACTGAATGTTTCAGCCATCTCCAGACTGGTGAGATATTGACCGTTTGGGCCTACTAAGGCGCATGCCCCTTGGTTGGTTGGCTTTCTCTCCGACATGAATCGGTACAAGTTTTTAGGGTTTGCTAGGAGTTTTCTGGCAGGGTTAGCCTGTCCCTCCTGACTCGTGCATTGCACCGGTTCCTGAGTTCCAGGTATGCATCATGGTCGATCTGACTCTTAGATACGCGCCACGTAAACCAAGCCTTCTGCTTTGCTTGCAGAATACGTTGCGTGCCTCTCTTTAACCATGATAAATTTCTTTTTGGCTGTGTTGTGATTAAAGGGACGGTATCCGAGATTACTGTATGAATAATCCTTTTTACCACTTCCCAGTGTTCATCCACAGATAGCTCATTCCATGCTAAGGGCCAGTCTGCGTCGGACATGAGCCTCCGTATTTCAGCATAGTCAGCCTTGCTGTAACACAGACATGGTCGCGTAGCGTCCCACTGCAAGTGCTTGCGGAGAACGAGATCGAAACCTATGACTGCATGGTCACTACTTCCTAGAGGAGTCATGATCTGGAACTTTTCGACGAGTAGTTGGTCACTAGTTAGAATGTAGTCTAGTTTTGATGACTTTCCACTGGCTTAAGCCCATGTGACTACAGAGTATGGTGTTATAGTGCCTTTTCCAAGGCTACTTTCGACAGCCATATTAACAATCACTAAAAGTTATGCTATGTAAGAATAAAAGAGCAACAGTAACAATCATTTGTGACAACTCATCACTTTTGTTACTACCCTATTAAATCAACATCCATTTCATCTGAACTTATTAACTGTATGCTCGTTCGACAAATTTAATGTACACGCATATATAAAACAACCATATATATATTTGCGATTGTACAGCTATGAAAATGAATTCGCCGAAAAGAGACTCTTCGCTGAACTACTGGTCTTCTGTCTATTAATTTCATTTATGGTGGATTAACATGGTTGTTGTTCCTTTTGGCCTCCGAGTAAGTTGGAAAAGTCCGCTAGCCAGTCAGTGAATGTATCACATTGAAAAATATAGAAATATTGTCTTAGCATTAGTAGAAAACACCAGGTCTGTGCTGTAGGGATCACAAATACCAGGGGAAAATAAAGCTTTAATCCGTTTTCCCATATAAGTTTGCTTTGAACGGCATCGCATCTTATCCTTGATTGGTGGCCAGGTAGTGTGTTAATTTAAAGTGAGTAGCGTATTTGTATCACTTTCTCAGCAGTCGCATCGTAGGGTAGCATTAGGAGTAAACTGGATTTCATGCAGACGAATGTCGCGGACAACTATGTGGAATTATCTTACTGCATAAAACAGATAATATTTCTCCAAAGTATGCGAGGAATCCCTGTAATGAAACGATGATAAAGTTCCCGTGAATATATCTTCTAAGCATGAAAATATATCACCTTCACCATAGCATATGAACCTGCGTTTTACAGTCAGGAATTTAATACTCAATCCATATCTGAAGGGAGGTTAGGATTTCTAAACATTTGATGTAGGTAATATTCTCCCATCGTTAGTAAATTTAAAAGAAGTGAGGAGGACTGTGCAACTCCGATTTGAGTACGGTAGATAAAGAGGCTATGGAATTTTGAGTTCACAAATCCTGTAGCAGGAGGATATGAGGTTAAAAAGGCTCAAATCCATATCGTCACTTCTGTGCTTGAAGGTTACGAGCTTATAGTTTTATTGGTACAGCGAAAGAATCTACAAGAAATTGATTGGTATTCAGATGAGGATTAAACGAGAAAATATCACATACTTATTTTTGTTAAAGTAGGTTGAAGGCTGCAATTGGCCTAAACAGCTGTGGAATTAGGGAGACACTGACCTTAGAGCACTGTTCAAAAAACTATGGATTCGAGGTCAAAGCTTGTTCAAGCCTTTAATGATTATGGTGGCAGAGTTTCAAGCGAACAGCTCCTGAAATTTATAAAAGAGGATAGTGAGTTGAGTCAAGGTATGTTGGAGATCCGGGTTTCCTGATCAAGCTGTATTATTAACCTAAATAAGAGTGCTACAGCAGCCCGCGATTACTACGTGTAACAGATTCAGATTTTTAGATTGGAGATAGGAGTTTTGAATCCCATCTTAATCCTTTTCTGGTAAATTTCTGTGCTTTTCCAAAAGCCTTTTGGACAAATCAATTGAGGGCGCTAACACAACTTCCTCTGGGAGTCGTTTCCAGGAGTTTATTAGAGGACCGGTACCCCCACAGTGGTGCAGTCTTTCCTTGGCTTTTGAGCTCTACTGCTATGCCCTCTAAGGTGTCTAGACCTTGTGGAAAGGAATAGAGTAAATAGTAGTCATTATCTAAAATCTTAAACATTGTAATGAGATCTCTGGCTACTGTATGTCAAGGAGAAAAGATTCAGACTGTGTAGTCTTTCGTCTTATGATAAATTGGTGATGCCAAGAATCCTATGTGTTGCCTTCCGTTGAACCCTATCTAGACTGTGTGAGTTTCCCTTAAGAGAAGGACTGGCCTTGACCTCTTCAGAAATGTATGCGATTGTAGTAAACGCCCTGCATATTGCCCATAAAGATCCGAAACTACGAGCTGTCACTGAGCGACAGTGCTGTGGTTTTTAAGCCGTGACTTATTATGATTCCTAGGTCCATATGAGTCTGAATTGATGGAGTTCATTTGTTTTAGTCCTGTCTGCCAAGCTGATGACTTCCAACTAAACCACCTTAGGGTGTGGAGTTGCGAAAATAGATGTCTGATAGTAGGTGACCTTAATGCCCCACGTAATAACTGGGGAGGTGAAACTAACATCAACCAGCCTGTACACGTGTTTCGATAGAGAACTTCCTCTGATAGTCCTCGAATGCGCATCTGTGCAACCCGAACATGACCCTTCAACCGTGGACTTAGTACCAACGCCAAAAGGAGAATGTATGCGACATTAGTTGCCTCCCACCATTAGGCAGCAGTGACTGCGTCGTCATTAATATTAATTTTAGGATTCATGGCTACATCCATGTGGAGAGCGGATATATCAGCTATATGGTAC